GGGGGGGGGGGGGGGGGGGGGGGGGGGGGGGGGGGGGGGGGGGGAATTTATTTATTTGCCTTGATTTTAGTGTGGTGGTGGATGCGTTGTTGAAGATTTTGATGACCAGACAATTTCTTGACTTCGGCTTCAAGTTCCATCACCCTCTTCTTGTGATTAATGTTGTCCGCCTGAGAGAATTAGAAGATGCTCGTCAAAATCAAAGAGTCCAAAAAGAGTTCTTTCTGCAATCATGTTGGGGAGAAATATACTAAGATCTTTGAAAGCCTGTACCTTTAACATCTCGTTTTCAGTTTTGAGCAACTGTTCTGTCTGGCTCAATTTTTCCAGGGTGACCTTTGCAGACACCATTTCAGCCTGTTTTCTCTCTATCTCCTCCAGCCACCTAGAATAAGATTTTATTGCAATTTGGGCATGTCAGGGAATTAAAATGTTTAGCAACTGAATATCCAATTTAATTGTACAGTTGATTACCCGTTCTTCTCATTAATAAAGTCATTTATTTGCTGTTTAAGTTTAGCTAATTCCTGTTCCTGCAAGCATGAAATAGTCCATGTCAGATGTAAATTCCAACTCAGAATCACAGTTATTGATGAAATATGGACCTAACTTGAGGGGAAATAAGGAGTACCTTAACTTGAGCGTCAATGTTATGATGTTGAGACTCCTCAATTAATGTGTGAAGCTGCTGATTATCCATTAAAGTCTAGCAATGACAAAGAAATGAGAATGTCACTCAGACTCACAACTGAATTCACTCATAATTTAATTTTTCCATGGGTAAATGACGCAGGATGCTATGGAACAATTATAGAAAAGGGGAAGAGAAGACAAGAAATGAGGGCAAAGGAAATCAGTTTTTATTCAGATAATCTGGTTCTTTGATTACAAATCATAAGACCCCTTTATATAAGGTTCAATGATTCTATTCTAAGTAGGAAATACACAATGAAAGCTATTAAGAGCATGTTTGAACCCCCATTTTTTCTATGAAAATGTATTTTGGATAGTATTTTGATGGAAAATGTGTGGTTAAAAAATAAGGAAAAGTTTTGAGTTTGCATGTAATATTATTTTATTGAAGAATGTGTGGTTGAAAATAAGAGAAAGAAAAATGTATTTTGGGAATAATGGGGACCAAACAATAGCTAAAACAAAGCCTAATTATGCTTCCTAAAATACACATCAAAATTGAAAACTAATATAATAATATGTCATAATACACTTTCAACTATAAACAATGAGACGAAAACATGGGTTTACCGCATAACTGTTCATGTTCATCTTTACACCTAGTAAATCCCGAATTACATCATGGGTCATGCTTTCAGTGGCAGCTAATCTAGCCTTCAGCGAAAATATCTGCAATAGAATGTGAGCCAAGTGGATAAAATGCTTACTTTAGTGGTACCAGTATTCATTCGTGAATCCAACCTCTTTTTGTCTGCTTGCAGCTATGGCCTCAAGTTCTTCTACACGTTGTCTTCCTGCACTAAGCTCCTCATCTCTGTCAGACTTTATTTGTTGAACTAAGCCCAATCCAATACATTTGAAAGGGGAACCTCCTCCCCTAGACTTCGAAGAATTTTTTTCCAATTTGTTGGATGATGAAGTTCCATGAGTAGCAGGGACTTCTGATTTGATTTGTTCTAACATGGCTTCCAATGATTTAAACTGTCATAAAATTTGCAGTTAATGCTGTTAGTTATTAAGGTTGATCCCTATATGTTTTAAAATGTAATTGACTGTGATGCCTATGGAGAAAAAAAGTTATTGATTTTGAAAGTCACTCTTACTTTCAGTGTCAAAATAAGCAACTTAATTCCAACTTTGACTAATGAATTTATTTTAAAACGTACTTTTTTTACTTATAAGTAATCTTTTTAAGCTAAGCAAAACATGCTCTTATTCCCACCTTTTGCTTGTATTCGCAAGCTTGTGCCTCTGCATGCAAATTTATCTCAGATATATGAGCTTTACATTGGGCTATCTGTCAAAGAAAAGAAAGTGAATAATAATGTTGAAAGCTAACATTTGACTGAAAACAACCGACAGTGACTACCACAACAGAGTTTATAGACAATCCATTCGATGAGAAACAACTTTACCTCTCCATCTCTGGCACCTATTTCTTTTTCAAGAATTTTTACTCGTTGAAGAGCTTCTTGAAGGTTCTTCTCCTTTTCATCCAGTTGTCTGAAGTCAAAAACTTATAAGCACTAAGAAATTTGTAAATAGTCATCTAATATACCTACTTCAATGGAATAATTAATTGAAACCTTTTTAAACCAGAATCGTTGCTTTCGACATTTTGCATTTGTTGCTTAACAGCATGAAGTTCCAGTTCCAGTTCCTCTCTCTCCAATCGCTGGCGTTCAGCTTCTCCTTTGACAATGCCGACCTTAGAAAGCAAAAATCTTGTCAAAGAAACAACAAAGGATAGTATTCCTGTATGGGTCTATCCATCTAGGAAGAGGGATACCTTTTGTTCAAGTACATCCACTGTACATTCTAGCTCCTCAATGGACCGCTCTAATAGTTTCACTTCCTTGTCCTTCTCCTCAGCATGGATTTTTCTAGTTTCTGCAATCTGTCATAACCAAACAGACATATTAAAGGGACCTATCAGTTAATTCAGTACACAATTCACAGAAAAAGTTTCCTGCCAAGACAACATTACCTCTTGTGCTTCGACAAAGATTGCTCTGTTTTCATCAGCAACTGCTCGTGCCATCTCAAGCTCTTCAGTCAAATTAAGGACTTTGTCGTGAAGATCATCTCTCTGACTGGTGACAGTATCCAAATTGCTCTTCAAGAATTCAGACGCCTTGTTCATTTCAGCAAGAGCAGCCTCCATATCAGCAACTTCCATTCTCAAGTTCTCATTTATGTTACTACTCTGTATCAATCTCTTCTCCATGGACATTTTTGCTTCTAATGCTTCTTTAACATTGGCCATCAATTCTTCATTTTCGCGGGATAATGAACTTATAGTGTCGTGCTCTTTCGCACTATCCATTTCAAGAGAAGATATTATAGCTACCTTCTCTTGCAGTTGAGTTTCAAGTTTTTGACCTTCAGCAACAGCTTGATCCAGTTCAATGGATTTCTCATCAAAATCTTTTTCTAAGGCACTTAGAGAGGCCAAAAGTTCTTCAATCTCATCCTTTTGATCCTTAGTATTAGATGCAGACTCCTGCAGCAAGCTAAAATCAAATAACAGCCCCTTAAGAATATCATCCTTCCTGGACAACTCAATTTCAAGAGAGGAAGTTTGAGATTTCAGCTCTATCGCAAGATTCTCCAAGTTTTCAAACCCTTCAAAAAATTTGGAAGCCCTCTCCAGTTCCTTAACGATCTTTTGGAACAAATCCTCTATAACCAAAACCTTCTCAAAAGTTAAGTTTAATATCTTGTCACCAATAGTATCAATGGTTTTCATCAAATCAACATTCTTCACAATGTTGGAGTTCAAAGCATTCAGGCATTCATACTCATGATTCTTGCTAGCTCCAAGTTTATTTCTCAAGAAAGCATTCTCTTCATTCAAATCCTGAATATTTGAAGACAGCTCATTTTTTACTACGGATTGAGAATGTTGAAGGGTTTCCAATTGGTTTAGCTCTTCATTTATCTTGACAATGTGATTCTGCAATGACAAAATATTTTCTCTCAATCTATGATTTTCTACGTCAAGATCATTAGTACCTTTTAGATATGATTCAAACTCGGCTTTCTTATCCTCCAAATCCTGGAAAAGTTCGCAGTGCTCTGCCTTTGCCTTTGTTAAATCATCCTGCAGGGCCTCATTTTCCATTTTAAGGCAGCTCATTTTTTTAATTTCTTCATCTTTCATTTCTGCCTCGTGTCGAAGCCTGCACAATTCAGTTTCCAGTAAACAGATGTCATTTTGCAATACCTGATTTTGTTGATAAAGCTCAGAGATATTACTCGAAGAAGTTTCAAGAGCTGCTTCCTTCACCTCAACGTCTTTTAATAACTTTGCTTGCCGTGATTCAAGATTTTGAACCTGGGACAATAGGGTTCTCTTTGCTTCCGCCAATTCTTCAAATGCACCTTTCAAGCATATATTTGAATGAGCAATTTCTTTTAATGACAGAATATCTTGCTTAAGAGCTTTGTTTACAGTGTCCATCCGGGCAATTGTTAAAAACCTTTCGTCAAGCTCTGACAACAATTTTTGCTGCTTCCTTGTTATTTTTTCAACTTCTTTTTGCTGGGAAGCATGCTCAATTTCTTTCTCCTTCAATATCAACTCATTGGAAGCAGCATCTATGCTCTGGAGAATTATACCTTTCTTGAAGTTTTCAAGGACTTCAAAGGAGTTGATTTTTGCTCTCTTGGCATCAGCTTTTAGGAGCTCTAGCTGCTTTAATTCAGATGACATGATTAAAAATTCAAAATCTTTTGCAGACAATTCCATCATGAAATTCTCTTCTTGATATTCAAGAAGTCTATCTTTATCCTTTAATAGTCTTTCTTGATCCAGAAGAGATGCTAATACATTCGAGTTACTGAGATCGAGCTCCTTCATTAGGACAGAAAGTTCAGATCCCATATGATTTGACCGTTCCAACATTAACTCTTCTTGTAACTGTAGATCTCGTATCTTCTTCTCAAAAGAGGCAAGCTTTATGGTGAGCTCCCCAGATTCATCTACTTTGCCTGATATACTATCAAAACTTTTCTTAATATCTGCCAATAACTTCCCCTTGAGTATTCTACACATTTCCAGCTCTCTCTGTGATCTAAGATTATGCTCCCGGAGTTCAGAAATTTTGGAATTCGATTCGCATATACCACGGTGAAGAAGACCATTTTCTGCGTTGAGCCCATTTGATGTTTCTAAGAGAATTCCCATGTGACAAAGATGCAAAACAGACATGGAAAAATCCTTAACGATAATCTCAGACCATACTTCCTCAAGAGATGACCTGATTAATCTCGTTGACTCGCAAAGTTGGGAATTCATGCTTAGGAAATCCGATGCTATAGCCTTGCAGTCTTCAATGGAAGTAGTTTGGACCTGTGAAACAATTTCTTCTAATTCCAATACCAGGCTCTTCATATCCACAATATCTGATTCATACTGCTGCTCAAATTTCTCATAATGCTGTACTTTCAGATTATTGGAGGACTGCAAGTTCTGAACTTCTGTGGTAAGGATATCTCTTTCATTGATCAAGGTGTTCTCCTTTTCCTTCAGCTCATGGGTGTTAAGCTTCAAGGTTTCATTAGCTATCATCAGCTCATTTATCATTATGTCTGCTTCCTTCATGGTGTCTTGAACCTCTTCAAATTTCTCAAGAACACAAGAAGCTTCAATAGATTTCTGGGCAGCAACTGCCTTGGCATCACCAAGTTCAGCCTCGAGTAACTGCAGAAAATGGACAGTTGGTAGTATTAAAAACACGTGATTGTGGAACTGGTGGCAAACGAATTGTATTTGCATAATTGTATTTTTCTCTTGTTAATTGTAGTTATTGCTGAGACACTTGGTTATCTGCCAGGAAAGAGGAAATGTAATGCTGAAAGAAAGTATGACATGGGAAATTGGAAAATAGAACTGAAGTTCAGGTATGAAGATTGAGCATTAAAGAAAACTGCATAGGTAATTTCCAATATTTCAAATATAAATTGTTACAAAAATAATGTTTTACCTGTTTAAGATGGAACCAGGAAGTGCAAGATTCTTGTACGATTTCTTCTACTCCCCTCAGTTTGCCATCCAAAGCAGCAATTTTTAGCTCAAATTTCACTTCAAAATTATTCATAGAACTTTGTAGCACAAATACTTGATTCATCAATGATTCAATGCTCTTCTTGTGACGTTTTTCAGCCATCCAGACACCTCCTTTGTCACGATGTAGTTTGTCCATCTCAGCTTGCAATCCTTGAATACTTTGAAGAGCGGATTCTATCTCTTCCTTTAGAAGAGTAGTGCTAGCATCTTTGCCATTCACATCCTTCAAAGTTTGTTCACATGCCAAAATATTACGGTCAAACATGCATTCATCCATTCTGTTTGCAGTGAAAGAATATTTTGAAGTCTCAGTTCTCGCATCCTCAAGAACACATGATTCTACATGGTTGATGTCCTGTTCTGTTCCTTTACCAGACTGCAATAAGACCAAAATAATAATATATAAAAACACAATAATGCTTTACTCCTTAACAAAATAAGTTGCCTGCAATATGCAGGGGACAGTTTGAGAAATAGAAACATTAGCTTACCCACGTTTGACATTTGTCGCTGGCGGGAAAACAATATGAACTTTCTAAAGCATTATCTCCACCAGAACCTCCAATCTGCTTCAGATACCCATTCATGCATAATTTCAGTGTTGAAACTCCAGATTTTAGCTCCACGAGTTTTTCCATGGCTTCAGAGATGTTATTTTCTTCAGTTTCTTCAAGTTTCCTCCAAAGAGCCTTAGCATCTATCTGTTCCTCTGATAGCTGCAGTTTTAGTCTGGCAGAGCGTTCTTCTAATGATTTCATTCCCAATCTGAGGATCTCGTTCTGTTTTTCTGCCTCATCAATTTTTGATGACTGATTGTGGAGAATGGCGTCTTTTTGAATAATAACTTCTGTGGCTTGTCTAAGTTGCATGTCCTTATTATTTAAAGCATTCACATGGTTGGAATTTAACTCAAACAACCGGTTCACAATCACAAAAGCGGCTGTTGCACAGCATGATGCATTTCTAAGTTGATCCTTTCCGTGTTTGATTACGCTCTCCAGCTCTTCAATAACAGACGTCTTGGCATTTAATTCAGATGTTAAAAGGAGAATATCTTTGTCCTTTTCACTGCATTCTTGATGGTGCGTTTCAGTCATTACCAATGTCGCCCCTCTCAATGACCTTAACATGCATTCCATATCATTTCTCTTATTCATCGCATCCTTTAAGCATTGATTGAGCTCATCAATTAATACTTCTTTTTCAAGAAAATAAGTTTTCATCCTCCCAAGTTGTTCAGAGATCAAATTTCTTTTCTGAGGGAATGAACTGGATGCCTGATATACTATCAAAACTTTTCTTAATATCTGCCAATAACTTCCCCTTGAGTATTCTACACATTTCCAGCTCTCTCTGTGATCTAAGATTATGCTCCCGGAGTTCAGAAATTTTGGAATTCGATTCGCATATACCACGGTGAAGAAGACCATTTTCTGCGTTGAGCCCATTTGATGTTTCTAAGAGAATTCCCATGTGACAAAGATGCAAAACAGACATGGAAAAATCCTTAACGATAATCTCAGACCATACTTCCTCAAGAGATGACCTGATTAATCTCGTTGACTCGCAAAGTTGGGAATTCATGCTTAGGAAATCCGATGCTATAGCCTTGCAGTCTTCAATGGAAGTAGTTTGGACCTGTGAAACAATTTCTTCTAATTCCAATACCAGGCTCTTCATATCCACAATATCTGATTCATACTGCTGCTCAAATTTCTCATAATGCTGTACTTTCAGATTATTGGAGGACTGCAAGTTCTGAACTTCTGTGGTAAGGATATCTCTTTCATTGATCAAGGTGTTCTCCTTTTCCTTCAGCTCATGGGTGTTAAGCTTCAAGGTTTCATTAGCTATCATCAGCTCATTTATCATTATGTCTGCTTCCTTCATGGTGTCTTGAACCTCTTCAAATTTCTCAAGAACACAAGAAGCTTCAATAGATTTCTGGGCAGCAACTGCCTTGGCATCACCAAGTTCAGCCTCGAGTAACTGCAGAAAATGGACAGTTGGTAGTATTAAAAACACGTGATTGTGGAACTGGTGGCAAACGAATTGTATTTGCATAATTGTATTTTTCTCTTGTTAATTGTAGTTATTGCTGAGACACTTGGTTATATGCCAGGAAAGAGGAAATGTAATGCTGAAAGAAAGTATGACATGGGAAATTGGAAAATAGAACTGAAGTTCAGGTATGAAGATTGAGCATTAAAGAAAACTGCATAGGTAATTTCCAATATTTCAAATATAAATTGTTACAAAAATAATGTTTTACCTGTTTAAGATGGAACCAGGAAGTGCAAGATTCTTGTACGATTTCTTCTACTCCCCTCAGTTTGCCATCCAAAGCAGCAATTTTTAGCTCAAATTTCACTTCAAAATTATTCATAGAACTTTGTAGCACAAATACTTGATTCATCAATGATTCAATGCTCTTCTTGTGACGTTTTTCAGCCATCCAGACACCTCCTTTGTCACGATGTAGTTTGTCCATCTCAGCTTGCAATCCTTGAATACTTTGAAGAGCGGATTCTATCTCTTCCTTTAGAAGAGTAGTGCTAGCATCTTTGCCATTCACATCCTTCAAAGTTTGTTCACATGCCAAAATATTACGGTCAAACATGCATTCATCCATTCTGTTTGCAGTGAAAGAATATTTTGAAGTCTCAGTTCTCGCATCCTCAAGAACACATGATTCTACATGGTTGATGTCCTGTTCTGTTCCTTTACCAGACTGCAATAAGACCAAAATAATAATATATAAAAACACAATAATGCTTTACTCCTTAACAAAATAAGTTGCCTGCAATATGCAGGGGACAGTTTGAGAAATAGAAACATTAGCTTACCCACGTTTGACATTTGTCGCTGGCGGGAAAACAATATGAACTTTCTAAAGCATTATCTCCACCAGAACCCTCAAGAACACATGATTCTACATGGTTGATGTCCTGTTCTGTTCCTTTACCAGACTGCAATAAGACCAAAATAATAATATATAAAAACACAATAATGCTTTACTCCTTAACAAAATAAGTTGCCTGCAATATGCAGGGGACAGTTTGAGAAATAGAAACATTAGCTTACCCACGTTTGACATTTGTCGCTGGCGGGAAAACAATATGAACTTTCTAAAGCATTATCTCCACCAGAACCTCCAATCTGCTTCAGATACCCATTCATGCATAATTTCAGAGTTGAAACTCCAGATTTTAGCTCCACGAGTTTTTCCATGGCTTCAGAGATGTTATTTTCTTCAGTTTCTTCAAGTTTCCTCCAAAGAGCCTTAGCATCTATCTGTTCCTCTGATAGCTGCAGTTTTAGTCTGGCAGAGCGTTCTTCTAATGATTTCATTCCCAATCTGAGGATCTCGTTCTGTTTTTCTGCCTCATCAATTTTTGATGACTGATTGTGGAGAATGGCGTCTTTTTGAATAATAACTTCTGTGGCTTGTCTAAGTTGCATGTCCTTATTATTTAAAGCATTCACATGGTTGGAATTTAACTCAAACAACCGGTTCACAATCACAAAAGCGGCTGTTGCACAGCATGATGCATTTCTAAGTTGATCCTTTCCGTGTTTGATTACGCTCTCCAGCTCTTCAATAACAGACGTCTTGGCATTTAATTCAGATGTTAAAAGGAGAATATCTTTGTCCTTTTCACTGCATTCTTGATGGTGCGTTTCAGTCATTACCAATGTCGCCCCTCTCAATGACCTTAACATGCATTCCATATCATTTCTCTTATTCATCGCATCCTTTAAGCATTGATTGAGCTCATCAATTAATACTTCTTTTTCAAGAAAATTAGTTTTCATCCTCCCAAGTTGTTCAGAGATCAAATTTCTTTTCTGAGGGAATGAACTGGGAATATCATCAAGCTGGTCAGAGACGTCTTTGAGAGCCTCCTGCCCACCGGTAAGAACACCTTCAATCTCATTGGTCAATCGTTCCCATTCTTCTGACAAGTTTCTTAACTGATTTTCTTTGCGTTCTAGCATTTGAGCTAATCTTGTGTTCTCTTGAGTCCTCGCGCCTAAATTGTCCTCCAGATTTTTCATCTCAGCTTGAAATAGAACCAACTTCTCCCTGCTATCCATCTCTTTCAAGCTACTATCTTGGACTTCCTGTTGAAGAACAGCAAGTTCTTCTTGCAAGCAAATAATCACCTCAGCAGTTTCTGCCTCAACCTGCTTGCGGACTTCGTCCATTTCTTCTTCTTTAGATGCTTGAATCGAATTATCACTTTGATACCACTGATTCAATCTCTTGGCCTTTTCAAGAGAATCATGCATCTTCTTCAACCTTGCTTCTATAGGAGAATCATTACTTATGGATCGCTTAAAGGATGAGATATCTCTAAACTCTTGAGCGTGAATTTGCTCCTTTAAAGAAGAGATTTCAAGCATTTGTTTATGCAATAGTTCAGCATAGTTGTCATTAGAGTTACGGAGCTCCTCTATCTCATTCATCGTTAGAAATTGCTGAGACTCAAGAGCTTCAATAACGGATTTTGCTTTCTCAAGTTCTTCTTGGACATCTTCACAATTTTGAGTAATAGACAGAATCATTTCCTTTGACAAATGAAGTTCTCTGTTCAAAGATTGTGTCATTTCCTCTGCTTTAAAAGAGTTTGACTTCTCTTCTTTAAGAATAATTTTCAAAATGTCCAACTCCAGTTGTAAACCCACAATATCTTCTTTGTGGGTCATAAGTTTTCTGTACCTATTTTGGCCGTTCTCTTGCTCCTCGGCCAATATTATCTGCTCGTTGAAAATTGGAACTTCCTTTATTGATTCCTGAAAGAAGTAGTTATAATCAATTTCAAGAAAATAGTTCTAAGAGGAAATTAAGGACAACCAAAGAAGTTAGTTGCTAGATATATTTGCACAAACCTTATAGTAAGCATAAAAGAAAATTAATCATGAAATGCATCATTATATGTATAATCATCACAAAAGATATTCTACTGTGGTGTCCTTTTATGACAGCAAATAGAGATTAAAGAAAAAAGAATCCTTCCCTTATTATCAAATTCATGGAAAATACTGGAGAAAGTTGGTGTCTCAAAACTTGCATACTTGATAATAAAATTATGCACGGAAGTATAAATTGTGCTCTTTCTTATCTTCCTCTCTTAACGTAAAAGTTAATGGCACCTTCATGAATTCAGGACTGGAGTCATGCTCATGAATTACAGATCCGATGGTATTCAATGATTCATTTAACTTGTCAATCTCCCTGAACAAGATTTTAAAAAAAAAAAAAAAAGGAAAAAAAAATGTTACAACCAGGAATAGACGAAGGAGATATTTCAATACAAAGAAAACCCAAAAACATGTAAAGACTTCTTACCCTCTGAGTTTTGCATTGTTTTCTAAAGTACTGCTTAGATTACTCCGGGTTTCCTCTAATTCATTCATAGTCCTCTTCAACTGTGAAAAGAAAATTATGATAAGAAGTCAAGGTCCGGAAAATAAATCTTACAGCATACAATGTTTTCAGGAATATGACGTCCAACCTCCTCGCTGAGTGAATCATTTTCCTCATTGGTATGAAGAGCACACTGTATCAATGGAAACAAAGATATATAAGGCTTCTTCAAAATCAGTGGACCTGAATCTTCTTTTCCAGAATAGCAATAAAAAACAATGTGCAGATCTCTTTAAAGAATTTACATGAGAAGCTATATTTTTGTCTTGATGGCTTTGCTGCTTCAAATTTCCATCGAGGAAGAGAATTAGCTGCCAAAGGGAGAAATTCTGGGTCAAAGGCATGAACTAATTTGAGAAGCAGAAAAAAGATATGGACTATTGGCTGGATAAGATACCTGATTCCGCAGTTCAGATACTTCAGCCAATAACATCTCTCTCTCCCCTTCTTCATAGAAGTCTTGAAATCTGTAAGTTCCAACGTGAATATTTTTAAAAATAAATTGAAGAACTTGTGAATAAAGCCAAGCCAACATTTTTTTAAAAACCTACCGTCTAACTTGCTCTAAAAGCCTAATATTTTCATGGGCAAAGCGAGTCACTTCAGGATTCCTATCAACCCTTGAATGCATCAGCTGGATTTCTTCTGAAAGTTCCCTGTTCTCTTCCAGCAAATAAGCATCTGCTGATGTCAAGCCACCGAGGAGAGCCTCCATTCTTTGAATTTTGTCTTCTCTAAATTTCAGCATCATTTTTGTGCATCTGGTGTCCTCTTCTCTTTGACTAACCTGAAAATCAATGCCACCGTGAAATGTTTCTAAGGAGCTAAACACAAATGACAAAACAAATTCCTCATTTATTTCCAGCAATACCTGTCTCACCATAAAAGAGAAAGTGGGAGAGAGAAGAGAGAGTTACCAGACGGTTCAAGTGTTCAATTTCAGCTTCAAGCCGTTTAATAGAAGTATCTGCCATCTGTTCCCTCCTTAGTGCACCAGCAAGTGTAGCTTCCAGTGATTTTAACTATGAAATCAATGGCAAAATGCGAAAACAGAAAACCAGCAGGTAACATGTCAAAATCTTTTCTTTTAAAGAAAACACGTCTGAATTATGAGATAAAAAGGATGTCAGAGGCATAGCTCAACTTTTAATTTGTCATTTTAGATTCTCTCTCTTTTGTTTTGGCATATTTAATTAATTGAACTTAGATTAATTGACAATGTTATCGAATTGAGTATGCTCAGATATTTCCAGATTGAAGGCTAAATTAAATGTTCATATGTTAATTTGACTCAAACTGCTGTCATTTGCTTTCAACCATTAGCAACAATTATCCAGTGATGGAACCAGCTGTCTGAAGAAAAAACAAAGGCAAATTACAACTTGATATACCTGTTTACATGACATTTTGAGAACAACTTTAGATGCTTTTCCAAGTAAATTATTCTGGTGATCTGGTTCATCAGTTGTCCTTTCACTACAACCATCTTCATTTTCGTTCCTTGCATCTCTGACTATTGCTGGACCAAAGGATAATGATCGAGAAACCTTTTCATGTTTGAGAACAGAAAGCTCTTCCTATTACAACAACAAATCACGAGTTTCGATTGTAAATTAGTTTTGTGGTCAATTTGTACAATGTGAGAGCCATATAAAACTAGCTACCACCTTTAGCAAACGTATTTGATGTTGCAGAGCAATGACATCTTTTGATGAATCTTCATTGATGACAGCCTTTGTCATGAAAAAAGAGAAAAAGGCAGGTTAATATATCCAGTATCCACTTTGTTATCAATTTAAAAGCCCAATGTATCATTTAAGCATGAACAAGCTTACATTATTCTGAATGAGTTTTGCTCGTTGAGCAAACTTTAGAGTGTTAAGTGTTTCAGCAGCACAACTGAGTAAATTAAATTTAGTATTTTCATTAGTCGACAACACAAAAAATAAGATGAAGCTCAAAATTTGCAAAAAAAAGAAATAGTTTCCCTACACGTAGAATCACATCAACATACCAGATAGACGGGCTGACGTTGGCTATCATCATTGTTTTCGAATTTCCACCCAAAGAATCCTGTTTTTCATTTTTGGAACATAACGATATGATTTTTAATAGGTCTAGGAAAAATATAAAAGTGAATAGTTAATAATGCACCTGAAGAAGAAATGTCAGCCTTGAATCTCTATAAGGAACGTGCCTTGGTCTCCCATGTGCTACATCCACTAGGACCATTATTACATGACTACAAAAGCAAGACCTATGTTCACTTGCTATATAACCCTAAGAAAACAGATGGCTAGTCAGTGATATGAAATTAATGTAATACCCTAGCGTTGATAGCGATTTATTGATGCTTGCAGCTTCCTTTAGACGCTCGCCCTCGGCACCAGAAGTCTTTTGCCTGATAGGGATAAAAGCAATATAAATGATGTGACAGCGTGAGATTCCCATCTATTTGAGAAATTAACATGAATAATGATGTAAACCTTTCAGAGCCGGCAAGGTCAACAAGGTTCAGCCGAGCAAAACGAAAGTTAGTAGTTGAATCCTTTTCCCATCTACTCTCAATCACACATGTAAAAACACTATGGGAGCGACTGCTTTCTCTGTTCATATTTGTAGCGGCAACTTTCCTATTTGCAGAACCCTACAAGCAAACCTCAAATTTTATTTGCTAGGGACAAACATTATGCATGCATCCATGCACACATACATCTGTGAAGATTGGATAATTAGAGTAAATCAAAAGAGGAAAAAGAGTAAAACCCAGTCACCTGACTCAGAAGCTGAAGAACGTCACCTACAGTTTGGACCTCGAATTCGGATAGATTTTCAACATACACGCCCTTTTTGACGTCCTCGCGTAACTATGAAAAGAGATTATAAATATGAGGAAACAACATTTAACAATTGAGGCACTACATTATCCTATCAGAAAGGTATAAGTACCATCAAATTTGTAGATGAAGGATCAAGAAGATCAGTTATTTGCTCATTATAAATCTCCAGGAAAGAGCATTTGCAATTGTATTTTAGCCGTTCATCTCTTCGTATTTCCTCCTCCTTAAAAATAAAGCTCGTGATGAAAGTGTCTTGTTGCAATGAAAATGTTTATATTAGAAGGTGACTTGGCAAAAGCAGGCAAAGAGAGTTGAACTTACCGCTCTAATTCTTGCAAACAAAAATTCGAATATGCGCGGGGTCATTCCACGATTTGGACTAGGAGTGACTTCTAGCTCATCAATCCCACCAAGCATTGTGTAAGTCTTCCCACTACCTGTCTGCATCATTAATCCATTTCAACATATGATATTGAGAGGGAAAAGAAACTGTAGTTGATGTGTGAACTCAAGAAAGCAAGGTCCGTAACAATGCTTAAGCGATAGTACCTATCATTTTATGAACGCATTCGAGGAAGAAGAACCTAGACTGTCACTTAAGCTAGTAAATAGAAATACACGAGAAAATTAAATAGGGTCAAAGTAAATAGGAATTTCGATCGCAAGAATGACAAAATTAAGTTGAAGGTACTCCAGCCATTGCTTGTACTATCTATTTTGAAGATTACAGTACTAATCGAGACTATCTTCATGCAGATTATACTAAAACAGGCAGCTGGAAATTAGAGATCTTGGAAAATAGGAATAACACACAGACCGCACTCGATGAAAAAGATTGAAAATAAGTTTGCCTCTCAGATATCATAGGTCCAATATCATCCTTGATTCATCAAAAATTTGAACTATGCCTAAAAATGAGAACCAGAAGCCCCGTCTTCATATGTGAACAAAATAATCTGCAAAGCCAAATGTTTGAATGCTTTTGTAGTATTTTCTCAGAAATTTTGCATCAGAAACAAATTCCCAACTAGTCATTGTGTAAAATTATTATGCAAACAAGTATATTGTATTACCTGCCCATATGCAAACATACAGCTATTGTACCCTGACAAGCAATTCTCCACCATAGGCAAGCCAACCATTCTAAAAAGTGTCTCCTGCAAATTCACCGCGAAGTACAGAAGTGTAAATAGTCTTTTTAGCTATACGTTTTGCAAATCGAAGAGTATGTTTGTTCTCTATGGACCTGGTCTATAGTTTCACATGCTACATGATCAAACATAAATGGGGTCTCGGGTTGCCCTATCCAGGTGATGCATTGTGCGCTTTCCTGCTTCAAGCACCTACTGTAACCATAAGTACCTTTCTCCATGTTATTGAGAGGACGTACTCGTATCAAAACCTATAAAAGATATTGTTCAATTATTCCTAAATAAATTGAAAGGAAATTAAGAAGCAGAATGCAATTTGCAGAAAAGAAGCTTACTTGGACATTGTGTTCCATCCAGAAAGATGAATCTTCCTTGAGTTCAAAATGGGGCACTTCTACTGAATTAACAACAGTGGCAGAATTGCAAGAACTCGGAATCCCTTTAGATAGTGCGGCAAAGTTGGCCATTCGAGCAGCCCCACTGGCCAGAGGCCTAGAACCACTGGCTAGACAGAGGCCGGGATTTGGAGGCTTGCTTACACTCTTAGTGGGCGTGCTTTGAGTCGAATTACACTCTGAATAACTTGAAGTGGCCTTTCCCATCGTCCTAGTAGACCGTGGTGTATTCATATTCTCCGCTGCCCTTCACTCCTCCCTCGACTCAACGGCACTAGAACTAGAGTAACAGTCACTCTTCTGGGCCCACCCAAAGTGATTTTTTGACACTAGCCCTTGTTTTTCTGGAGTGGAATGCAGCATTGTTGAATCTGACTTCTTAGACTTTGGCTTAACGGGGGTTCTGTCAGTTTTATTAACCTTAACACCACTCAATTTTTGATCTATACCACCTTTAGAATTCTGGATTGGTTCTTGAATTGCATATAGAGGGGGCCTCTGAGAATCCTTGATAATCTGAGGACCTAAAGAGTCCCTGGGATTTATAGGGACATTCTCGATTTCCTCTGCGTTGGGATTCTTGCCGGAATTTCGGCGCATAAATTTGAAATCCCTCAACATTCTGAATCCCCCACAAATTTAAACAGAAATTATGAAAAGAAGAATGGGATATTTCAATAATTCTTAATTTCTTGAAGGTATACCTGTAAGAGGAAACGAAGAAAAGAGCTCCGAAACTACGAAATCCTGAAATTTTTTCTTACTTATGCGGAATGAAGGAGCTCGTATTCAGCTGCTTCTTTGGTGGGTTTCAGCCAAATTTTGAACCAAAAGTTATTTCCATTTTTCTCTCAAGATTTCACATGAATCCTTCGATACTGAAGAAGAATAAGGGTCCCTTTCTCTCTCCTCCCCGAGTGATGTAATAATTTCAAAATTCGAGTAAAAAGTATGGTAGGTCTCAAGATAGACGGCTGAGATGAGATCTAGAATTTGAAATTAGGGAGCATCGCGCTATGGGATTTTGAATTGGTTGAGAGAGAGACGATGTAAAAAAGGAATAAAGGATTGGTTAATAAATAATAATTAATGTTAAAACGGCTATAATTTCAAATTTGTTACAAAAGAGAACAAAAGAGAAATGGACGCAGAGAAATCAATAGAATTGTGTATATTTTATTAAGAATCAAAATTTTATATTTATAAGGTAGAATTAGGAATACAATAGTAATAATTTATAGGGGTAAAATTGTCATTTACCTCCAAAACCTAATAAACTTACATTTTACAACACCCCATTTTGAATGACACATTACAAAATATATGTGTCGTTAAAATCTTGTTTGACAAAAATTTAATGGAAAAAAATCAAATGAAAGAAAAAAAGTACAGTTATTTTGAAGTACTAAAAATAAATATTGCCTCATTAAAATATTGTTAGGAAAATTTAGTGGGATAAAATTTAAGCGAGGGAAAAAGAGTACAACTACTCCCCCTAATGTTGATCACTGAAGATCTTTGAGTTGACGCATTTCAATCTCATGAACTAATTTCTTGAATGTAAATGTTGGCAGTGCTTTTGTGAATAAATCGATCACATTGTCACTTAAGCGAATTTGTTTGATGTCGATGTCACTATTCTTTTGAAGCTCATGTGTATGGAAGAATTTTGAAAAAATATGTTTCATCTTGTCATATTTGATATAGCTTCATCTTAGTTGTACAATACAAGTTGCGTTATTTTTCATACAAAATTGTTAGATTATCTTTTATTAAAGTTAACCCACATGATGCAGGATATGATGGGTCATATTTCTCAACCATACACATTTTTGACTTGCTTCATAGATTACAGTAATTTCAAAATGATTTGAGGATATTGCTGTCAAGGATTGCTTCACAGATCTCCAAAATATATTCATTCCTCCACGTGTAAACACATAACCAGTTTGTGATTTAGCTTTATGTTGGTCAGATAGATAACTTGCATATGCATATCCTATCAAAGTAGATCCCGACTTTTGAGAATAAAATAATTATAAATTAATAATACCCTTTAGGTAACGAAAAATATGTTTTAACATCATTCCAATGTCTTTGAGTTGATATAGAGCTATATCTTGTAAGGAGATTTACAGAAAATACTTTGTTGGGTCAAGTGCAATTTACAAGATAAGTTAATGCTCTAATTGTACTAAGGTATGATACTTCAAGACCGAGAACCTTTTCTCCATCTTCAAGTGGACGAAATGGATCATTTTTCATATCAAGTGATCGAACAACCATAGGGATGCCATGGATGTGCATTATCTCTATAAAAATGTTTTAAAACTTTTTCTGTATACGTAGATTGGTGAACAAGTAATCCATTTATGAAATGTTCAATCTGCAATTTGAGACAAAATTTTATTTTTCCCAAATCTTTCATCTCAAAATCATTTTTCAAATAATCAGTATTTTTGTTGAGCTATTCAAGAGTTTTAATTAAATTTAAATCATCAACATAAATTGTCACAATTGCAAATCTAATATCTGTTTTCTTTATGAAAACATATGGACAGATATTGTCATTATTATAACCATCTTTCAACAAATATTCGTTAAGGCGATTATATTACATGTGTCCGGATTGATTTAATCCATATAATGATCTTTACAATTTAATTGAGAATATAGTTCTAGAGAATGTATCATTTGTTCCTGGTACCTTAAGTCTTTCAAGGACTTTCATATACATGTCGCTATCAAGTGAACCATACAAATATGCAGTTACTACATCCATAAAGTGCATATCAAGCTTTTGTGACACAGTCAAAATAATTAAAAATCTAAAAGTGATGGAATCCATTACAGAATAATATGTTTCCTCCTAGCAATTCCTGGTCTTTGTGAGAAACCTTGAGCTACTAGTCGAGTTTTGTACCTTGTAATTTCATTATTTTCATTTTTCTTTCATAGAAAAACACATTTGTATCCAATAGGGATCACATTTTTAGGTGTTCAAATTACGAGTCCAAACACTTTTCGTTTCTATAAGGAATTCAATTACGCATGTATTGCTTCTTTCCATTTTGGCCAATCATTTCTATTTTGATAGTCTGTAACTGATTGTGATTCAGGATCCTCATTTTGCATAATATCAAGAGCCACATTATAGGTAAAAATGTTATCTATAACATTGTCTCGTTCCCATAATTTAAGAGCTAACATATTATTTATTGAAATCTCATTATTTTTGGACACTTGTGGTTTTTCATGAACCATATCTTCAATATTTGATTAATCAATCTTTTCTAATGTTACTTCTTCTGAAATTTTTGGTTGGTTTTTCTATTATGCCTTTCTTTTTCGAGATACAGAGTCTTTTGAATGGCCAGTCAATCACGCTTTTGGCGTATTTGAGATTCATTTGTCACAGCAGATTGTCTTATATGGACATAAATTTTTGTTGAAATATTTTCTGCTGGAATATATGACTTTGTCACTTTTTGTGTCAATAAATGCATCAGGTAAATGATTTGCAACTCTTTGCAAATAAATAATTTTTTCAAAATCTTGCTCACATTTATTGTTGTGGGAATCAAAGTGAGATAGAATTGTTTCATTCCAAGTAATTTTGCCTTATTTTTTAGGATATAGTTTTTTCCCTCCCAAAGTTGGGAAAGTCAATTCATCAAAATGACAATTTGCGAAACGTGCAGTAACTAAATCACCCGCTTAAAGGTTCAGGATACCTAATAATTGATGGTGAATCAAAACTCACATAAATCTCGAGTCTTCATTGGGGACCCGTTTTAGTACGTTGTGGGGGGTAAAATAGGGACTTTGACTGCATAACCAAAAATTCGTAGGTGAGAAATATCAGGTTCGATACCAAATGCCAGTTGCAAAGGTGAATATTGATAATAGGCAATTGGTATAATACAAACCAATGATGCAGGACGTAAGATGACATGACCCCAGACAATAGTTGGGAGTTTTGTTTTCATAAGTAATGGTCCGGCAATAAGTTGTAGACGTTTAATAAACGACTCCGCTAAACCATTTTGTGTATGGACAAGCACAACTAAATGCTCAATTACAATCACAATTGACATATAGTAGTTATCGAATGCTTGTGATCTAAATTCACCATCATTGTCAAGGCTAATAGTTTGAATTGAGTAATCGAAAAATTGCGCTCGTGATTTTATAATTTGAGCAAATAATCTAACAAAGGCTACATTCCTAGTGAAAAGTAGGCAAACATGTGACCACCTAGCAGAAGAATCAATTAATACCATAAAATAACAAAATGATCTACATGGTGGGTGTATTGGCCCATATATATCTCCATGAATTCTTATCAAAAAAGTTGAAAATTCAATATTGACCTTTGTAGTCGAAGGTCTAATGACTAACTTGACTTGTGAACAAACTACACGTGGATAATCATTTGGCAAAAGAATCTTTTGGTTTTTTAAATGATGTCCGTGTGAGTTGTTTATTATTCGACGCATCATTATAACTCTTGGATATCCAAATCGATCGTGCCAAATTATAAAGCTTTTTGGGTCAACAAACTTCTGGTTTTCATATTATTTGATTCAAACATTTTTATATGTTAGATGGAAGTGCATGAAATTTTTCTTTTATCTGCTTCTAACCAGATACAAAAGAAGTTATACAAAGATATTCAATATTATTGTCTTGCATTGTCTCAATATGATATCCATTGCAACAGATATCTTTAAGACTAAGCAAATTTCTTCTAAATTTGTTAGAATAAAGTGTATCGTCAATATATAATTTTGAATTATTTGGTAAAATAATACAAACTCTTCCTAAGCCTTCAACGATATTCGCATGCATCTGATATTGTATTAACATTATTTTCTTCTAATGTTAAGTTCAAAAAATATTTTATATCCTGAAGAATGGTATGCATAGTTGCACTATCAATCAATCAGGTGTCTTGACAATCCATCATGAATCTTCTAAGAGACTCATGCTGATAACGTATTATAAAATAGAAGAGAACGGAGAAAAGTTAATAGACTTGTGTGTATTTTATTAAGAACCAAAACCCTGTATTTATATAGCAGAATCAAAGATACAATAGTAATAATTTTTAGAGCTGCAAGGATTATCATTCACGTCTGTAACTTAATAAAGTTACCTTTTACAACAAAATTATGTATTTTAAAGTAATGATTTTCTAAAGAATGTGTGTTCTAAAATTAAGTGCATGTTTGGAAGTATTTTTTCCTCAAAAAATCAATTTTTTTTATTATTTTACTATTTCAGTCGTCATGTTTTACTTCTTCTCTCACAGATAAGATTTACTTTTCTATCTAACAGTCAAAAAATCAATTTTAAAAATCACTATCAAACAAGCCTTAAGTAAAAAAAATTTAATTTACGTGTAAAATTATTTTTATTAGAGAATGTGTAACTGAAAATAAGAAAGAAAAATGTATAGTATAAAAATAGAGCCTCAAATAGAGGCTAACACAAAAGTCTTATGGTTGCAAAATTTAGCCCTTATTTGATGGTCATTATAAAAAAAAAAAAAAATTGTGAAAAAATGATGTTTTAAATAGTGATTTTTCGAAGAATGTATGGTCAAAAAATACTGAAAAGTACAAAATATTTTATTATATGAATATATAATTGAAAATGAGTATAAGAAAAAAAGATAGTCAAATAAGGGCATCAAAGCGAGCATTTAAATTAAGAGTATTTTCGAAAAATATTTAAAAACACTCTGGTCAAACATCTTTTAGTTTTACATTTCATAATATTTATAAGTACTATACTTTTTAACCAT